ATCCTCCTGCCTCAGCCTCCCAAACCACTGGGATTACAGGCATGTGCCACTGTAGCCAGCAGGAGCATACATATTTTAGAAAGTGTTACTCCATATATCATGTACACTCAAGTATTAACTAACTGCTCATATGAGTACTAAAGTAGTGCAATACTCCAATCACTCAACAAATATCTACCATGTCTTAGACTAGATGCTGGGTATACACAGGTGAAATGAAACAACAAAGAAGAAAACAAACCATTGCATCAGTAAGATGGTATCATTACTATACCAAAACTCTCCTATACAGGTGAAAGTCCAATAGCATAAAAAATAACACAAAATATAATTACTCAATTATATTGGCTAAAAGAGATGGAAACTCTTCTACTCACAAAAACTGTATGTGATTCGGGGCACTACTTGGAGCATTCCAGTAGACTTTAATTTCTGTTTTTTTGGATGAACTTGTGTGACTCACAGCTGATCCCTGAAATAAAGTGGAAAGAACTATCATTCAATGAATACCTCAGCATAGTTGGAAATGCTATCATATTTCAAAGTAATCTATCACTGTATGACCAAGGCATTATGGTGAAGATGATTTTAATTAGAACAAGCACTAAGGTACACACAATAAACGAATGTGGATTGGTTATATTAGAAATTAGCTCTGTAAATAAAATAATCATCCGAAATTTAAGAAAACTGAAAGGTGTCACAAATATCGGGTGTGTTAATGCTTTATAAAGCTTGCTCATTATTTCATTTACATTATAAATTCATTCCTTCCATAAATAAAATGCAGATTACTCAAAAGAAAACTCCCTGCCTCCAAATACAGAGCATGATAATTTAGTAATTTCTTTCTCTTGAACAATCTTGTTTCCTACTTTTTTTTTCCACCTAGCAAACCCCTACTCCTGCTTTTAAAGCCTAGCTTAGAGATCAGCTCTTCCAAGAAGCTCCATATAAATTCCCTCCAGTCTGTAGGTGGCCCCTCTGGCATGCCTGCTATCACCCTGGATAAACTCTACCACACTGTCTTACTTAGGCATCTGTCCTATGTCCACATGTTCTCCTTTTGTGTCTTATCTCCTGTGTCCATTGGTTCTACTGATGTGTAAGGGTGTGGGTTCTTCAAGGAAAAATTGGAAGTCTCTTATTCATCACTTTATCCCTTGCAAGTTCCTGGTACAACAAATGTTTATTAAATGAATGAAAAAACTCTAAATTCTACCCTAAAATTCTATCTTCAATACTAAAAGCTTTCAAACATCAATATAAAATATGATATAAAATATCACAAACTGTAAGCTCTTCAAGCTGTTGCTGTATCTTTTCTAGGATGCTGATGTGTAAGTATATATCACAAGTTAAACGGGGGGAAGTCTGATCATTGTGAATCTACATAAATGTCTGCAATACATGGCTAAGGTCATCATGCAACCACCACCCCATCATGAAAAGACCCCAAGGATAGGGATGGAAATCAACATGAACCTGGATATCTTCACAAGTCAGAAGCTGTGACACTTGACTGTCAATCAACGTGAAAGAGCCAACAGGAACACCACTCAAATCCTCAGCATTTCGAGCTTCTAGGAGGAAGCCTTTAAATGGTGGTCCTGACAAAGTAACTAAGAAATAGATTAAAAGATTTAGTAAGACCCCAAAAAGGAATGTTTAGAGAAAGTGCAACCAGTTATAATCAGGTACACATGTACAAAACAACTCCTGAAGAGAAAACAGTAGAAACGGCCCTGCAGATAAAGAGTGTCTAAACTATGCAATGCAGGGCACTCACTTTGTGAGATACCAACAACCATTTTTCCTCAAGTGGGAAAAGCAGGTGACAGTCACAAGGCAGTCGATAGGGCTAAGTGAGTATGGAAAAAGCTAGATAAAAGTAAAAATGTCTTTCTTTATTACAAACCCCTTGGAGTCTTTAATATTCTAGTATGACAGGAGATTCTTGGGAGATATATTATATCTAATACACAGATATTAAATAAATAAAAATCAATCAATAAATTTTTTTCTCCATATACCCTTGTTGTTAAGAGCACATATTAATAACTTTGCATGTTTATAGTTGCAGAAAATAGTTTGCAAAATGCTGTAATCGATATATCTTCAACAGTTAGCCCACATTTTGCCAGAGGGACTGAGGAATCATAAGATTTCTGTCTTCAAGACAGAAAAATGTTCATTATATTTTAAACAAGTTAAAAACAAACTCTAGGGCTGGGATTGTGGCTCAGTGGTAGAGCTCTTGCTTAGCATATGTGAGGCCCTGGGTTGGATTCTCAGCACCACATATAAATAAATAAAATAAAGGTCCACTGACAACTAAAACTATTTTTAAAAACTCTGTTTTCTTCTTCTACTGAGTTAATAGTATTATTAATAAATAAATTAATAAATAAGTTAATAGTATTATTAATAAATACATACATTAAGTGATGATTTAAAACTTTTTCAGAATAGGAATAGATAGATATATCACCTAAGTCATAGGGTCATCTGGAATAAACAAAAAATGGGAAGACGAGAGTATCTTCTAACCAAGTGACTGAAGAGATTTAAAAGAATAATTCAAACCCAATAATAATCAAGATGCATAGGACAGTAAAAAAAGAGTGAAACCCGAGTGTAAATAATCATTCCCAGCACAGTACCTTCAACCTGATCTCCTGGTCTGAACGTCACCTGACTGACTGTGATGTGGTGAACAGGGTCAGCCTGTGGCCTGTGACCATGTTCAGGAATCATTCCATGGCACGACTGTGTCACTTTTCCACTGGGATAATTAGCCACAGAATTAATGCACAATAGAAATACGAAGGCACCATGAGTAAATCCAGGAGCTGCCATCTTGAAAAGAAGATTACAAGCAAATCATTTTCAGATATAATTAAAATATAAAAGCTTTTACAACTCAGGACAGTAATTCTAGATAACCACTTACCTTCCATGTTCACTATCCCTATTCTCAAAATATGTACTACAAGGAATGTGTTTCGTGAAATGTGACCTAGATTTGAATCTCAGTGCTACCATATAACAGCTGAGACTTTGGGCCAATCACTTAAGCCTCGACTTCCTTACCTGAAAAATGAGGAAACTAAGACCCTCTTTTCAAAGTTGTTCAAATAAAATGAAGATACAGCCCAAAGTCTCACAAGATAACAAATGATAGCTTTCATTAGTATGATGAGGATAATAAGCTGGACCAATAAAAACAAAGGTTTTATTTGGCTTCATCTTAGAAAGCTAAAAGATATCTCTCTTCTGGACCTAAACATCATCACTTGAAAAAATCTCTGGTATGACTTCTCTCAACTTCCCATTAAACTAATCATGATGAAAAGATGGATTATTAATTTTCAATACTGAAAACTAAACAAAGCAGACAACCAAGATCCAGAGACAATATTTCTAGGATCTATGCTTCCAGATATTGCTAAATTAAGAAACACAATGGTCAGCCCACACCATCTTCCTCTGACCAGCTATGTCCTAGAAAACCAGTTGCTTTATGCCAGTTCTACCCTTTTCCAGCCCAGGTCAGCCACTGCAGCTCAGGAAGACCCTCTGAACCTGAAAACCACAGCATTCAGCAAGCCTGGAGGAGCTGGGCAAGGACAAGTTCACAGAGTTAAGACTATGGACAGGCCGCAAACTGAAGGGCTCAAGAAGCAGTTCATTCTCCACAGAAGTGGGATTTTCTAGATTATATATCTAATCATAGACAAAGCACCTTTAGAGTCCCTGGAACAAATTACCATTTTATAATTATGTAAATAAGAAAAACAAGTTAATTAGAGCCTCATCTGGTGGGGTTTTATTAGTGCTTAACTGACTTGGAGAAAGGAAAGCCCAACTCCAGCCCACTAGAGCCATCCCACGGGTTAGGGGTAGGAAGACTAAGAAGGAGGTGTTAATAGTCACAGCCAAGGGGCACAGGGGCACTGAAAGACTCTCTGAACCTATTCACAGCTCCCCCCTACTCTCCACCTACACATTATAAAAGCCCTATTTACAGCAGTTTCCTTTATTCAGTGCATCACAACCAGCTATTAAAAACCTTACACGGCAAATTAAACAGCAAAACATAATTTGAAAAGACAGAAGAAATATCAGAACCAGACTTGGATATAGCAAGAATGTTGGGATTATCGCTGGGAATATAAACAATTATGGTTGAGATGCTAAGGGTTCTAGTGGATAAAATAAACAGCATGCAAAAACAGATAAGCAAGGTGAGCTGAGAGGGACATCCTGACAACCCAAGGGAAATGCTTGCAATCCCAAACATGGTAACAAAAATTTTTAAAAATGTCTTTGATGGGTTTATTGGTAAACTGGACACATTTGAATAAAGAATCTCTGGACTTGAAGATAGCGCAATAGAAACCATTGAACTGAAAAACAAAGGGGAAAAAACAAATACAATATCCAAGTACCATGCTAAAGGACAAACACACATGACAAGAATTTCCAAAGAAAAAAAAAGAAACCTAAGAAATACTTGAAACAATAATGAATGATAATCTACCCCCATATTAATATCAGACACCAAACAACAGATCTAGAAACCACCAAGAGGGATAAAGTTTTTTTAAAGTGTGTTTGTGGCATATATGACAGCTAGTTTATATGTCAACTTGATTGGGCTAGAGATGCCATGGTAACTGATAAAATATTATTCTGGGGTATGTTAGGGTATTTCTGGAAGAGATCAATATTTCAGACTGAATAATGAAGATCCCCTCACCAATGTTGGTGGGCATTGTCAAATCATATGGTGCACAAAAGGAAGAGGAAGGGTGAATTCCCTCTCTTTTCTTGAGTTGGGATATTCATCTTTTTCTGCCATGAGATATCAGTACTCCTGGTTCTTAGCTCTTCAGACTCCAGGAAATATAACTGTAATCCTCCCTACCCTGCAACTGCCCAGTTTCAGGCTTTCCTTGGAAACCAAGGAAAGTTATCAGGGATAAACAGAAATATACATAATAATAAAGTAGTTGATTATTCATAAAGATAAAACAATCCTGAATATATATTCACCTAAGAACAAGAGCATCAAAATATACAAGGCAAACCCAGTAGAACCACAAGCAGAAACAGATAAAAACAACTATTTTAGTAGGAAATTTCAACAATCACCCCTCCCCCATCAGAAACTAACAGATCCAACAGGCAGAAAATCAGTAAGGACCTAGCTTAACTTAACAAAATCATCAGTCAACAGGAGCTTACAGATGTCTATAGATATTTCACCCAATGATGGAAGAATACACATTCCTCCCAAGCTGACATGAAATATTAACCAAGATAGACCACTTTCTGTGCCATAAAACATAACTTAACAAGTTTAAAAGAACAGAAATGACAAAATGTCGGCTCTTAGATCATAAATGGAATTAAACTAGAAACCAGTAACAAAAAAGACCGCTGGAAAAAATCCCCAAATGCTGGAAATTAAACAACATGCTTCTAAATAACATAGGGTCAAAGAACTCTCAGGAGAAATTAAAAATACTTTGAATTAAGTGATGAAAATAGAACTTATTAAAATTTGTGGGGTCCAGCAAAAGTAGTGTTAGAGGGGAAACTTTTGAATTGACTGCATTTATCATTTTGTAAATAAACCCTATGTTGGATCAAAACTAAAATACAGGAAGTCCTGCTAAACCCCAGAAACTGTGTTAGGGAAATACACACATAAACCAGTTTTGCACCCTGTATCAGGTTCTACCAAGTAGACAGCATAAGGTCTGACAGTACTGTGTACCTCTTTTATCTAACATCAAAGCTAAAGAGAATTCTACTTGTCTAAAGATAAGCAAAGGAACAAATGAACCAATCAAGAGGTTCAGAAAAAAAAATCTTTACAAGAAGAAAAGCACAATATTTCTCCGTAGATTTAGAAGACTAACTTTTTAAATGGTTGATGACTAGCCAGGCATGATGGCACAATGACTGTAATCCCAGCAGCACCAGAGGCTGAGGCAGTAACATTACAAGTTGGAGGCCAGCCTCAGCAACTAAGTAAGACCCCACACAACTTAAATAAACACTGTCTCAAAATTTAAAAATAAATAAATAAATTAAAAGGGCTTGGGGTATGGCTCACTGGGTAAGCTCCCCTGGGTTCAATCTCTGGTACCAAAAAAAAAAATAATAATAATAAAATGGTTGATTACTATAGGAAACAGAATAAGCAGAGTATTAGGAGAGTTTGGGGTGAAAACCTTGGTTTCCAAGTCCTTTTGACAGGGAATGATCTGTTGTTAGAGGTGGACCTGATTTTAGGACCTAGCAATATGCACAGAAGATCATAGTCACAGTCCAAACCACACAGTAGTGGCCAAGTTATTATAGAGATTAAATATTGTCGTGTGCCATTTAAGCTAAAAAAAATGGTACAATGGGAAAAGTTAACTCAGTTTAGCAAATATTTATTTGGCACTGACCTTCTATGAAAGTGGAAACCAGACTTGTTGTCTAGTCTCTTCTATGGTCACTAAGCAGATAAATAACATGAAGAAAGTCACTTAATCTAAGTTTCCATTTCATTCACCATTTGCAAAATATAGCCAACCAACTAAAAGAATTCAAAGCCACCCTCAACAAATGTTACGATTTGAAAGCAAATCACAAAAACATATTGAGAATAATTTAAATAAGAAGTACAAAAAGGATAAGGGAAGTAGGTAAAACAAAGCCAACTGCATTCATTAAGAAATACCAACACTGCCAGACAACGTGGCACAGGCCTGTAATCCCAACAACTGGGGAAGCTGAGACAGGAGTATCAGGAGTTCAAAGCCAGCCTCAGCAAAAGCGAGTTGCTAAGCAACTCAGTGAAACCCTGTCTCTAAATAAAATACAAAATACAGATAGGGTTGTGGTTCAGTAGTTGAGTACCACTGAGTTCAATACCTCTGTACCAAAAAAAAAAAAAAGAAATACCAACACAACATAGATATGCAAAGGAAGAACAGGACAACATTAACTTCTTTGTTCTTTGTTCAATGCTCACTGTTCCAGATCAAGTTCAATTTTCTTAATAATGGCTAATGATGGCTTTCCATTCATTAAGAAATACCAACACTTAATGGTTTAAATTTTAAACTTATTAGACAACCTCTCTCAACAATATCATAATTATGATAAGAAAAGGAAGGGAGTCATTCAGAAACATTTAAGCTAAAATTATGGAATGTTGATAATAAACTATTATGAGAATATCCTTCAAGCACAGTTATGTGGAATTTTTTTAAAATTATTAATATTCACATTCTACTTCATATATTAAAACTTATAAATTATTCTTATCAGTTGAGGACAATGATAGACCTATTAGTTTTAAAGATTAAAAGAGAGGTTACTTTGATTCTCTAACTGAAATATTCCCCAAACTGATAAGATTTTACAGTTTTCTTTCTTGTCTAAAAGGCACTTAATAAAAGGATGAAATAGCTGTTCATACCTTATTCTACAAACATTTCACATATGGATAATTCCTCAAAACAAATGATGTAAATACAAAACTCTTATACTTAAATGAAAATGTAATTCTTATTGTGATCTTGGTCCACAGAGGCAAGTGATATTAATCAAGATAACATTTTTATAACAACAAAGTAAAATTAAAATAAAAAAGAAGAATCTAATAGAAAATGTCTACATGTAAGAATGTTATTAAAGGAAGATGTGTTAACTGAAGTTTTTTTTATTCTTTTTAATTTTTTTTTAGGTGTAGATGGACACAACACGATGCTTTTATTTTTATGTAGTGCTGAGGATCCGGTCCTGCCCATGCTAGCAAGTGCTGTACCACTGAGCCACAATCCCAGTCCTATTCTTTTTAATTAATTTCTCATGAAGTGTATTTTTATTATGTGACTCTAATCATATAGAAGAATAAG